AAAGTCTTTTTCTTCATTACGACTGATTAAAACTTACTTGCGATCGACCATGCAGGAAAATCGCTTAAATGGGTTAGCATTATTATATATTCATAAAGATATTGCTATAAATGCTGAAGAGATATTGGATGACTTTGCAAAACGTAACCCACGCCGACTTCAGTTACAATATTTGTAAATAGAACGTTTGTTGTATTGTGTTATAAAATAATCTTATTCGCTATTTTTTGTTCTTCTACTCTCTATAAATAAAAAAATTAACTTAGCGTTTATTTTTTAATTTTGAAAATCCACAAAAGCAACCCCCCCCCCCCCCCGAAAAATATGTCTAGATCCGCCACTGATGAGCAATGGTGTACTGTGCTTGCACGTATTGAATCCGTCTTCAATTCCCGACCCTTGACCGCTCTATCCCACGACCTTTCACCATTAACTCCCGGACATTTTCTGATTGGTCGACTGCTGAGTACTCTGCCAGAAACCTCACTACAGGAAGTCAACGTAAATCGTCTCTCAAAATACCAACATTTGCAAAAGTTGGTCCAACACTTCTGGGAACGGTGGAACAAGGAGTGTTTATTTACACGAACTCCAAACAAGAAGTAAATGGAAGAAGACAGCCGCACACGCAATCAAAGTTGGGGCATTGGTTCTAGTAAAGGAATCAAATTTGCCACCCCTACAATGGAAATTGGGCCGTGTAGCAGAAGTGCATCCAGGTCGCGATGGAGTTGTGCGAGTTGCTTCTGTGAAAGTGCGAGATTCAGTTTTCAAACGAGCAGTGGCGCACCTATGTGTTTTACCAGTGAATGATAGTGCTGCAAAATGACACTTTTAGGTAGTTTTATGTACATTTATGTAAGCGGAACTTCGTGGAACATGAAAACATCACGTTTTATTACGGCTCGCTAAGGCAGCTTTATTATAACAAGGGGTGCGCGAAGGAGCGCGGCCCACATATGAGGACTTCGTACGCGACATCCAAGAAAGACGGTCGAGAAATAGAGCAATGTATCGAGCTATTGTTACTGTTCAATAAACGCCCATTGTAAATTGTCGTATAGTGTTTAATTAAGGGGTGTAATACCCCTAATCCTTTATACCGTTAGTGAATCTCTTACATTTATATTTCATTGTTTTTGTATTTTTTGAAAAATTTTGTAATAAGCGTTTTTCAAGCGCTTGTTAAACGGGTTTCCCCCACTACACGTAGCTGTGTGTACACTCGTATATAATGTTTGATAAAATAATATGGTTTGTTCTCAACCTCAAGAAGTTTAGTTTATTCATCAATAACAGCTAATACATTTAACAGGTTGAAGGCTGTATTGGGCAATTCATATTCCCCCTCCACTAGTTCCATTGCTTGTGGAGTTGGTTTCGCGTCACTGTCGATGACATCAGGTATTTCGATATCCACAACTTTTAAAATATCATCCGTTACATCGTTTTCAATAGGAGGCTTGTATGGCCCTCCTTCAGTGGCCATTCTTTGCTTTTTTTCTTCCGCCAACTCCTTCTTGCGGCGAGATTTGAGCATGGATGCTTACTTTTTTCTGCCGCCGTAATGCAGTCAGTTTTTAGCGCATTTCCACAAAAATTTAAAAAAAATGCGCTATTGTGGCCACTTTGTCCGTCCGTCCGTCCGCTCGTTTTGCGACGCTACTAGTTCTTTATCTTAAGAGCTACTGTTCTACTTTTTTCGCTATTTGGTTCGTTATGGTGTCGAGTCTTGTACCAAGGAAGGAATTTTTTCTGTACCGCTTACAAAAAAAGTTATTGTAAAAAAAACAAAAAACCGTTTTTTACATGTTCCATAATTTTACACTTTTGCCGTTTATTAACGATCCTAGAGATCGTTTATAATTTTGCATTGCTATCTGTCGCCTGCCGGTTTGTCTGTCCGTCTGTTCCTTTGTCTGTCTGTCCATCTATCTGTCCGTGTGAACGATAACTTTGTTTAGAAATGTTCGATCGCTTTTACATCTCCGTTAGTTATTAACTGAATTGCATGAAATTCAATATGGGCATAGCTTTAGCCATATAATACGCAATGCCAAAAGTTGAGTCGAATCGATTCAAAATTCACAGTGCCCTTTTCGCATTTCGACCATTTATAAACCGAATTGCAAACTTTTTTACTTATAAAAGTATTTGAATGAAATTTGATACATAGGCACTTGGAATAAAGGAAAATCAAACGTCAATTTCAAAATTTGGTTTGCGCATGCGCAGTGCCAACTTTTTTATTTATGGAAGAATTTAAACGAAATTTGATACATAGGCACTTGGGATAAAGAAAAATCAAACGCCAATTTCAAAATTTGGTTTTGCGCATGCGCAGTGCCAACTTTTTTATTTATGGAAGAATTTAAGCGAAATTTGATACATAGGCACTTGGGATAAAGGAAAATCAAACGCCAATTTCAAAATTTGGTTTTTGCGCATGCGCAGTGCCAACTTTTTTATTTATGGAAGAATTTAAACGAAATTTGATACATAGGCACTTGGGATAAAAGAAAATCAAACGCCAATTTCAAAATTTGGTTTTGCGCATGCGCAGTGCCAACTTTTTTATTTATGGAAGAATTTAAATGAAATGTGATACATAGGCACTTGGAATAAAGGAAAATCTAGGGCCAGTTTCAAAATTTTATTTTGCGCATGCGCCGTGCCAACTTTTTTATCTATGGAACTATTTAAGTGAAATTTGATACTTAGGCGCTTGGACCAAAGGAAAATCTTAGTTTATTAGTTAGTTATAGTAAATTAGTTTTAAAATTTAGGTTTGCGCATGCGCAGTTCCAACTTTCTTATTTAGAGAAGCATTGAAATGAAATTCTTCTCATAAACTGAAATTGAAGTAGCACGTCAACAATGGATTGCCCATGTGCAACGCTATCTTTCATATTTGTGGGCGGATTTTTACGATTTTAACAGAAGTTGCATCTTACAAATGGGAAATGAATGCAAGTGGAAATGCGCTTTATGTAAATCGTTTACGATTACTTTTTAACTTGTTATTATTGCCTTAAATTTATTTTCGCATCCGTACCGTATTTATATTTTTTAATTAATTTTAAGGTAATTTGTTGCTACTTTCCGTTTCAGTAATTATAGGAGGGGGGGGGGGGATATTGTTCGCTTTTCCACAATTGCTTAGCTAGTCTCAGAACATGTTTCAATCATTTACCGTCCAAATTCCCAACTTTTCAAACGAACGATAAGTAATTCCTTAAGGAAAAGGCTCTCCATTCTGTTGAGCAATTCCTTAATATTAATATAACTTAATTTTTTTTTTAGAGGAGGGTTCGACAGCTAAGGTCATATCCCCTTTTAATTCTCATCTATGTAACCACACATCTAAATTTTCCCATACACTTTTCAAGAAATTCAATAAATTTCTAGCTTTATCCCAGCTGGTAAAATTCTGATTATAATTTGGCATAATAGAATACTGGACAGTCGTTTATTATATGGGCCACCGTGAGGGCCATCCTACATCGATTGCACTGTCGGGGATTAGTACGATTCAGTAGATGTTCGTGGGTTATTTGAATGTGCCCTATTCTCAGACGGTGCATCTTTACACTCTCTTCTCTAGTTGCGCCTGGCAGTGTAAACGTTCCCTTTGCGATGGGTTTTATTTGTGAAAGGTGAGTATTTGTTGCTGTCCATTTTTCTTGCCATTCCGTGTGGCATTCGTTTTTCATGTATTTCCCGAGGTCATATGGAGCAGCAAGATTAACTTCCACCTGCTCCACAAGTGCCGCCTGATAGGCAGCGCTATTCGCTTGCTCGTTGCCTTCAATACCCACATGGCTTGGAACCCATATACACGTAAGTAATTTCCCTTGTGCGAGGATACTATTTAAGGCAGACTGACATACTATATTCATAGCGTTATGTGAATAATTTTCCGTAAGATCATGCAATATATTAGCGCAATCGGTGACGATTATGAACCTGCTACTATCATGGAACAATACAGGACCGCTTGCCATAATGCATATTGTCCAGCGAAATGGATGGACGATATGGTATTCAATCTCCACTTATATGCTGCACCTTCGGTGACTATGGCACTACCCGTCCCATTTATAGTTTTTGATCCGTCCGTATATATTACTTGGTATGATGGATATTGGCTAAGGATCATCTCAAATTCCTGCAGGTAAGTGTCTCATTTTGTAATTTCTTTTTTGTGCCTTATGAGATCTTTTATTATGTTTATTTTCGGTATCACCCATGGTGTAACTTCCCATATCCTCTCATCCAACAAATTTGGAAGGACTACTCCCCTCTGATCGAAATATTCCTTGTGCCTAATATAAGCTGGTCGAGTAATGGTAGGTGCTGACCTGTACGATTGTACGTCTACATTAAATAGCTCATTATTAGGGTGTAAGGGTAGCGATGAAAACTTTCGCGAAATAACATTTTAGATCTAGCTATACCTTTAACGTTTTGATGGTTTGTTTTTTTGATCAGTGCAATTATATTTTTATTGTACAAAGCAAGGAATATACATTATTATTATTAATAATATTGAACTTCATTTTACATTGTGTGGTCTTAGTATGATCTAAGTTGTTGTTTTCAGTGTTCTGGCGAAAGAACCATCGTAAAAATATTTTAGTGATTAATTGATGTAAATAAATGATCTAATAATGACCTAACACTTACAAATAGTGGAAGTGTTTATTTTCCCCCACTTTTTCATTTTATTTTAGCTGTATGCTACATCATTTCCTATATTTTTGCCTAATGGGAACTAGCTTTTTCACGGAAAACGCTTTGGGGAGGTAGGTCGTCATATAATATTCTTAAACAGAGGTCCACTCCACTCCTCAATAGTAATCCAAAAGCAACCGTTACTGGGAGCTACTTAGAAATGGTCAATAATGCTCTTTAGAACACTTACTCAACCTGAAAACAAATCTTAGTAAAGGCGTACAAAAACCTTCATGCTCGGTATCTTGCATAATGTCAAAATTATCTTACAATTATTATACTAATTTAATTTAAAATGCTTCTCAACACGGCGTTCGGAAAACACATCGGTAACTTTTATTACATGCATAAAACAGTATGATTTAATCAAGATTGTTTTGCGTGGCCATTTTCGGATAGTATGCCATTTTCGGACAGCACGCCATTTTTTGACAGCACTCCATTTTTAGATAGAACTCCAGCTTCTTTGGCGCTTCCATTAGTAGTTCCATTAGCGTGACCATTTTTAATCACATTTTTTTTATTGCTTTCCGCATACGCTTTATTGTAAAAGTCCGAGAACAGGTAGTAGAAGAAGATTGCGTTCGGCAAGGTGAAGAACATTGTCCACTTTGGATAGCCGCAGTCGTAGAACAGCAGTTGCATAGAGTGTAGGAAGGCTATGCAAAATTGGGACTAAAAATGCGTGTGCTTAGTATATCGCGTTTGTAGTCGTTATCTTACCAATTGCAACGTGGTGATGTACTTTTTCCACCAGAGATACTTCTGATATTTTGGTCCCATGGCCGCCATCATGTAGTAGAAGTACATAATAATGTGGACGAAACAGTTTATGACGCCTATAAATGTACCGTGACCCCCTGGGAAGTACTTGGTGGCTCCCCAACTAACTAGGGGCATCACTGTGTGGTGGTAGATGTGAAGAAAGCTAATCTGCGCATTCTTTTTTCTTAAAACGAAAAAAACGGTGTCCAATAGTTCTGTGAGTTTAGCAAGAAAGTAGATGTAAACGCCTCTTGCTACCTAAAAGAGAATTGTAACAGGAATGCAACAACACTCATAAATTACCCTCATGGCATGGGGGCTCCTCGAGTGATCAACGGGTTCACATGTCCAGCTATACCTGTACAACCAAGCACCTTCCATGCCCTAAGAGATTCAACAGTCGATTAAGTTATTTACGCTGCTATAGTTGACTTACTTCATAAAATAAATAAACGCTAACTAAAACTTGCACAAAGTTGTAAACGATTAAGGTGTTTTTTAATTCGTAAGGTTGTCGGTCTTTCATGAGACGAGGGCCCAAGTTTAAAACAAAGTATAGATAGAATCCTACTATAGCTAAGCCTGGAAGCGGGTCATTGATTAAGAGCCAATCGTTGGTGCGGGGATCTGAAAACAAACCATTTAGAAACATTGATCGCCAAACAATGGTTAAGTATTCATTAGACGCATCGGCAATTATGGGCGTTGAGCTTTCGAAAAACGGTGCATCATGATGATTTTATATCGAATTTTCACATTTTCTCTATGTCAAGGCGGTGAAATTTCATTTGTTTGTACAGCAAATAGGAAGAATATTAATAATGGATTGTTAATAGTAATTTATCTTAATTTCGAAATTCCATTCACGATATAGACTGTTATGTTTTATTTATCAACGTATAGTCCTTATAGCAAAATCAAAGTAGAGCGGATTTTGTTTCTTCGTCCTTTCAAGAAGATGCATTTTTAGGTAGAACAACGATGCCCATATGCAATAATGCAATAATGTTTGCTTTTAGAATTGTTAGGACATCGTAAAGATTTATTTATGCCACTCTCTTTTAATTAAATGTTTATTTTACAAAGCACAATTCAGGCTTAGAATATTACTTAGATTTAGTACGCATTTAAGTAGGCTACCAATTTTCTTATTATCATTTGAATTCAAATCTACCAATCCTGGCTCTTAGTCCTCTGTACTGTGTTCCTAGTGTTTGATGATTCGATCATTCTTGTCGAATTAAAAAATTAGTAACTTACCCATTACAAAAGAATTTGTATTGTAAGTAGTACCTACTAATGACAGATCGTTAGACAAAGTTATACATTTTAGTTTTATCATAAGTTAGCAATTAAAGGGAGTTATTAAATGGGTGGAATTATCAAATGTTGTTGCAACCGCCGTAATGAGGCTATTAATTAGGCGAGGACGGTGATATCAGTTTTCTTTTTATTGCACAATGCCTCGTTCATATAGTACTCGATATTGATCAAATAATAAAATTATAGTAAAAATTACGATCAGTTCTATTCTGTAATCGTCATCTAGAAATAATTGGGAAGCAGAAGCTAGGATGTAACTGAGGAGCAAGCGAATATTAACATACAGTCGCCTGCACTTCTCCTAATCCTTTTCCAGTACATAACACGTAACAGTACTTCACACTTTTATGTTCTTAATGCGATTCATTTCTGTTCAAAACGGTTCCATTATTAGTAAAACAGTACAGCTGCTTATGCGTAACGTTTCGGATTTTATTTCATTTTTTCAGTGACTGTTTTACACGGGACTAAATTCACGTCGTCCGTCGCGAGACGCTTCAAATATAACATACATATACATATATTTAAGAAATACTATCGTTCAGACATGTAGAGTTGGTGTAATGAACTGGTTGTGTCGCCGTTAAATGCAGGAAATTATATTACTTTCAAGTACATACAATATAAGTATACTTACTTGTATTACTCAGCGACTATAATACCAGCCCAGTCACATTATGTCACATTGGACCAAGCAAATATGCAACACCATTTTCTGTATTAGAATTTATTGTAAGACTAGATTTTCCCCCGCGACATCGTACGGCTTACAGAATGTAAAAATAGCACGTTACGCGAAATAGCACAACGAAAAAAGAAGTTAAAAAAAACCCGATCGGGCCCAAATGTGAATCTAAATCACCCGCAGAGATATATAAAAAAATTTCATGAAAACCCTTCCAACCGTTCACGAGGAGTTTAGTCACAAGATACGTACAGACAAATTTTATATGGATATGAAGATTGTAAATTTAACGAATTGGATTACGCATATTTGATACTATGTAGTTTTGTAAATTCATCAACAATATCTAATACTTTTGCCAACTGCAATAATTGTAAAATAAACAAAAAGATGATCAAAAAGGTAAAGTAATGCCTATTTGTTTTGATCCAATTATTTAATACTCTGAGATGGTACATACAGGCAACAAAAAAAGAGCGAAGGAGTGTGAGAGACGAAACTGTGCCTAAATGGGCGAACGAACAAAGCACGATCGCTTTGTAAAAAAATGAGTCAACCATATGCAATCAAATTAAACACAACCTGATTATTTATTTTGAGTGCTGAGCTGGCGTGGAGATAGCAAACGAAAAATTAAGGTTTGTCTAAATATACAATGTGCAATGAATGACGTAAATCAGTTTATTTTTCCAAAGTTGGAGGGTTGTCGTGAAGTTAGCCACTTCAAAATTTTTTCTTTGATCCACTTGCCTAATGTGCAAACAATGTGCAATCAAATGGATCATACACCTTTTACTTTTTGTGTCTCAAATAAGCAATCATTTCTTTAAATCAATATATTTCTTTTTACAGTTTATTTCCATGTTCCATCTAAAAAAAGATCTCACTTCAACCGAAAATGCTCAAGTTATATTGTTGTTGAACACGGAATCATCGTAAAGAAAAGCGCACGGCTGAATTAGGTACTTGTTGAAAAACGTAAGGTTACTAATCTTTTGTTTATTTTTTTTAATGTAAATAACAAGGAAAATAGGAAAAAAATTTTTTTGGTTTAAATCGTTTTCTTGTCCTCACTTTGTTCGAATTACTTTTTTCATCTGCTGGATTTACAAACGGAAAAGTTTCAACCAAATTACAATATTACGTGAAAGGACAGGTGGATAATTTTTTAGGTCAATAACAGTTCCGCCACCGAACTATTTTGAGTATTTTTGACTGATTCGTCGTGTTTGTTCAAACCCACCCGAAACAATAAATTGTTGTTCGTCGTTCAATTCGCTTCCACCGTCCATAATTCTTTACAGAAAACTACAAAATATAGTCGCGATATTAAATTGTCCGGATCCGAGACGGTTCGGAGCCTGGCTTGGAAAAGTTAATGATAAAAATTCATAATTATATATTGTAACGTGATTTATTAATTCGGGTTCGATTTATATCAATATTTATTAAACAAAACTAAAACACTATAAAATCCGTACAATTTATATCGATTATTTATATCACACACTTCGAAATTTATATCAGCTTTTCGCGCTCTATGTTTCGTCCGTACTCGATCGGTAGTAGACTGCCGCGATGTTCGGTCCGCAACCATTTATACACGCAAGCAATGTAAGTCCAGTACATTCTCGAATGTTCCTACTATCGCGCGCGTAGAAAATTCCAGAGCGCCAAAGGCGACGTCATGTCTGGAGCATTTCCGTTACAATATAAACAAGACTATTGGGGCAATTTTTTGTCATGTTAATATTACTGGAAAAATTTGTTCCTTTGAAAAAAGTTTAATTGCATCATTGTTCGGTGCGGCAGCGCCTGAATAATTATTTTTGTAACGGATAGGTTAGTTCGGTGCCGGAACTATGACGCAATGTGACTGATGTGTTGTTGATTTGACCTTAAGTTAACAACATGGAGTGTTATGGTGATATGTTTTGATAGTTTTTGCCAGAATTACTTAACCTCGGCACTGACCCTATTTTACTACGTAAAGAATATATTTGCACAACTAGACATAATGCATCTACGTGGTTCTAGTATAGTAAAATGGCTACTATTCTAGATCCACGTGGAACGACGGAGGGAAAAATTGATGTTATGTTATATTGATTTCATTTATTTTACAGCATTTGCATACAAATGCTATATATATAAATAAACCTTTTATGACCATTCTCCCACGGACTAATTGCAAAAAACTCCAAAATGGACGGTTACCGTTTTGCATTTCTTACATTGCAAGATGTCACACGTTAACGTTTGGTTTAATATCCCAAAAAAGCATCTAATACAAAGAAACCCACATAGTTATTTGTACAACTAGAGAAGCAAGTTTTTCAACTCGAGTTCAAAATGTGACTCATGAGATTCCGACAATAAAACATTTTTGACAATAATTCACTCACTTTGCTGTGAGGGGATCCGCTTATATTCAATGATCTTTGATGAAGGTCCACATTGCCCCCCCCCCTCCCCTACAGAAACCACATATTCCTATACCAATCCAACTGCAACCCTGATATACTGGATATAGCCCTTCATAACAATTTTCCCAGTCCAATTTTCCAAAAATTGCTACTTGGATTAGATTCTGATCACCTGCCAGTCATAATAACCCTTGAAATGCAGTCTCAATTTATCACTCAAAGTCCTAAACTGATAAAGGGAAAAATAAAATGGAATACCTTTCGAAACAAGCTCCAGCAAAATATCAAATGTCCAACACAGTTACAAAACGGGGCTATCAATTCTTTACTAAATTCAATAAACCAAGCAGTCAAGATATCAACCACCACCCAAAAACACACTAGCATTATACCACAACACATACAATACTTAATTAAAGAAAAGCACACGACCAGGAGATTGCGGCAAACAACCAGAGAGCCACAAGTTAAGAAAGAGTTAAATATTTGACTGAGGCAAGTAAAACATGGATTAGACGAACATCGAATTAATGAGTACAGAAAAGAGAGAACATGTTCAAGTTGCAAGTACAACCGAAAGATCCGACAATGTAGCGCACAACTAAGCGTATACCAAAGGAACCACATTTTATTCCTACTATAAAACTATACAATAAATTATAGTGAAATATTCGCACAACACCTAATTGAAACTCCAATAATATCCCTTATTGCAACTACAACAGTTAATTGAAAATAAAGTCAATCAAATTTTCCCTCCCAATCCAGATGAAATAAAAGCAATAAAACCTAATGAGATAACAACAATAATGAACCAACTACCCAAAAGGAAAGCACCAGGACATGACAGAATACCAAAAAAATCAATAATGTACATATAGTCGCAATATTGAATCTTGAATGTATGTCTACCGATGAGAGACTCCTGCCACATGGAAATACACAGGGCGTAATTTAACAATTGCTGCAAGCTGTAGCTAGCGCCTTCAGTTTTTGTACGAATTTAATGCAAAAATACTACAAAACGGGGATTGTTTCCATGGTATGCTACAAAATTTTGAAAAGTTAGTTTTGTGTGTGAAAAATTCCAATCAAACGTAACTTTGATATTAATCATTAAATTTAGGGGGACACATTCCATCATGTTGCATTGAACAACTTTCATCCAACTTAACGGAGCGCCGGCTCATTCTACCCATGATGCGTCTTTGATGAACCTTTTTGAAAACAGATGGATTGGGGCTAGAGGTCCGTGGCATTGGCTCCCTAAATGTCCAGATATAACGCCAATGGGATTTAATGTGAGGGGTCATATAAAGACAAAGTTTACTTCACAGGTGCTTCTCGTGAAGAACCGGAAGTTAGGGTGAAAAGACCTTTTGATGAAACTGATGCAGTAGAAAATTCGAAAGGCGACTTCCAACGGCGTTCATTTGGAGATCCTATAATGTATTGAAAAAAAATAGAATTCTTTTCATATTTAGTGATATAAACTACCATCAACAAATGGTAACAATTATAACCGAGATTATAACCCTAAAAAGACTTGTTTGACGAGCCTACGAACAGATTTACTTCAAAGCTTTCATAGTCACAGTCAGAATTCTAGAAAATCTAAAATAAAACGGAAGGCATAACAGATAGGAATAGAGAATGTAGTATATGATCGATGTAGAGTTTTTTTTTAGATTTTTGAAAGTGCAAAAAAGTAAAGCATGTTTCATTAGAAAAAATCAACTTTTTAAAATTGACAATCAGTTTTAAAGCACCCTCTAGAAGGGTGATCAAAATTTAAATTATTCTCATGTAGCATCAAGTCATTGTTGATTACTGAAGACTTTTTAAAATTTTAATCAACCGAGTCAGAGGTACAGGGCTCAAAAGAAAAGCAACCAATTGCTTAAAACCGGAAGCGAAACGATCATGTAAATATTTTAATTCGATTGGTCATCAAAAACTATGTGTTGATATTCAAATTTCTAGATTTAAATTATTAATGCGAGCCTGAATATGTTTAAGTAACGGTTTGCGTGAAAACATCCTGTATAAATAAACCTCTAGTGACCATTTTCGAAAGACATATCACTTACTTTCTAAAATATCAAAAAGCATAAGGTATAGAAGGTTTAATGTTTTTGTTTAATTTTAAAAATAAGTGAGTCTTTCTAAAAATGAATTAAACGTTTTTTTTTTATTTTTTGCGGTTATATTACAAGGTACCTACCTAAACAAAATCAACGGAATAGAAATTATGAGAGAGATAAAAATGTAATTTGTGGTAATAATAATAATAATTTATTGTCTCTGATCAACGTTATTGACATGATCACAATGAAAGTTTGGTATAAAAAACACACATATACATTAAAAATTACAAAAGAACAAAATATAAATATTATATCACATATTCTATCACATATAGGTACATGTCAGTTGCCTTGTAAAAACATTGTACAATCGTGTTCTAAAGAGGACTTGGAGACGCCCTATGAAAATAAATTGATTGAATGGTCTTTTTTTTCTTATGTCGCGTATAAATTTTAGTCATCAAAAGCGCCCAAAAACTGATCCACAACATTGGGAAGTTTTGGCAGTGTTTATTGTTTCGAAAAATAACCGACCATGCTTGTGAAAAAGCCGGAGTGTCTAACACTACAATATTCAATCAAGATTATACACGAACATTTGGGTATGAAAAAAGAGTCTGCTCGTGGTCGTTTTGGTTATTGAATACCTACATGGCAAAAGGGTGAAGTTTATGGTAGCACGATTGAACGCTTGAAAAGATTTCCATCTTAACTGTTCCTGATTTGGCACTGTATTAATCACAGATTGCCATTTTTCTCAAACATTTAAAGAATTTGTTCATTTAATTACTTTTTTCTTCAGAATGGACACATTCGTCTAATTTAGGTACTTTGACAAAAACGAGCATATTAATACGTAAGGCCATAAAATTGAGTTACTTCCGACTAGAATGTTTTTAAAGAGGGCCACAAAATTGTTACAGTTTAATGATGATTACGATATTAACCTCAACGTAAAACGAATGGTTAAAAATGTTAGAATGCAAACCAAATCGAAGTAATTTTTCAGTTTTTTTTACCACAGAACTCTTCAAATTAATGTTTGTTTAATTTCAAAATAGTTATTACATAGTTGGTAACGAGGGAGAGAATTTTAGGGAATATTTATTTAGAGCAAAACGGTGAGATTAAGCGCAAATGAGTAGAAAGTGCAACCATTTTAATTGAATGAGTTTAGTACTTTTCTCCATGTGAAGTATTACAATAAATAGTATCTGTGTCTAGGTCAGACGGCTACACTTTGTTAAAGATTTTGTGCAAATTTAAGATTAATGTTATATAATGTCGCACAATCACGCTCAAGTAATACCGAATTCAAATTTGGTCCAGCAATTATAAACGCGCAGAAACCTACTGTAAAGGAAACGTCTTTTTAAAAACCATTTAATCACCAAAGCACCTAACCGCAAGTAAAAAGAGGTTTTAATGTAATTTATTATGAAATTACTATTCCCTTACTAATTGAGACAATAATAATAAAAATAAATTAGTTCCTCGTTACGCAATGGCGTATTTAGAATCGATTTTAAGATTACGTTGTTTTTACAAATCGTTTTATTAACTAAATTGTGGGATAGTATAAAAATTTCTTACCGGCGAGATCCGTAAATACGAAGTCGTAGTATCTCTTAACCGAATTGTTGTAAATCGACATTTTCTTCTTTATTCTGCAATCCTTCGGCTATTCACGCACAATAC